CACAGTACAGACGCAAACGCTCATACATACACGCATACACTCACCCCTATGAACGCACGCACGCACACCCTACCCTTATGAGCACCTCCGGGAGACTGAGCCGACATAACATTTTGAGATTTACGAAGTCACCATAGGCACCTCGTCGTCGACGGGAATGTCTCCTCCCACTGAAAGCACATCGTCGGAACTTATGAAATAAATCTAGGAATAATGCGAGCACCAGGACTTGAACCCTGATGGGCTGAGGATACCAATGTCCCTCTAACCATCCAACCACAGGTTGGTTCGCTCGTCTCTAGCTAGTAGATAGATAGGGTTTTAGTTCTCGTAGGGGAGATGTTTGGACGAATGGTAGCGCTTATTTGCACGGCTCCTTTTTTTAATTAAAATGGGAAATACTATAAATCACCTCGTGGATCATAGCCCTGCGTCCGCCGACTTCTTTGCATGCCACGTGCCCCATGGCTACCACCACTAGTTTTTGCAACTAGCATGTTGTTGCAATCTCTCTCATCACAACAACGTCTTTATTGCAGGATCTGGATCTTGAGAGAAGTCAATTCTCGTGCTCCTCCCAAGATCCCGTCGAGTTCCGCCTCCCCACGTTGCTCCGACTGCCCCGAGCTGTTGTCGAGTCACCGCCTTCCTGCGTTGCTCCGACTACCCTGAGCTCCCGTCGAGTCGCCACCTCGCTGCGTTGCTCTGAATACCGCCACTTGTGCTCGCCATCGACTAGCATGCCAGGCGAGCTGCACCATGTTGCAAGGCGTGCAACCAAAGAGATCGAGCTCTCCCGTCGAGTTGTCGCCTCCCCGTGTTGCTTCGACTGCCGCCATCAACACTTCGTGCTGGCAAGCACGCCGACGAGCTTCTCCGATGAGCTGCACGCAACCACCACTGGAATGTTTTCTGCAACACGTTCTATGTTGCAAAAGGTTTTTTTGGTAACACAGGTTCTGTTGCAAAAATACGGTAGAAAAAGATCAATAACGTTTTCTGCAACACATTGTCTGTTGCAATTTTTTTTGCAACATTACCTTTGCTGCGAAGATTTTTCAGAAGAAAAATAAACGCTTCGAGGTGATTGCAACAAGTACCAAAGGCCTTCTGCAACACTAGTCTTGTTGCAAAGTGTGCTCATCCGATGGTCAGCGAGGCGGCGGATATTTTTTAGAGAGGGGGTGGCGGATATTTTCTAATTATCCGCCGATCGACGCGTAGCGTCCCCCATTAAAAATGGCCCAAAAAGCCTATAAGGTCTAAAAAGAACCCTGCCACGTGGGCCAAATGTGTCGGTGAGCCGACACGTTTACCTGTAGTGCCTCCATCAGCAGGATTCATGAAAATCCATGTGGATGCCAGTATCGCTAAAAATCAAGATAAGGGAGCTGCAGCAACCATTTGCAGGGATGAAGATGGCAACTTCATGGAAGGTTCTTAGTGATACATGGAGTCAGTGATGATGCAACAATGGAAGCCATTGCTTGTCGTGAAGCCCTCTCATTAGCCGAGGAGTTGATGATACAAAGCTTCGTGGTAGCTTCGGACTCGAAGCAAATTGTGAATGGCATTTAGAAGGGGACAAACGGTACCTACGACAAGATCATTGCTGAGATTAAGAATAGGGCTCAAATGTTTAATTGTAGTTTTACCTTTGAAGGCCGAGCTGCGAACAGCGATGCCGATAGGTTAGCCAAGTTTTTCAATTCTTTTGGTCAGGGGAGGCACATGTGGATGATCCAACTCCATAATCCTTTTGTAATACCACTTCGAGTGGACGATAAGCAATAAAACTTGGTTATACCCTAAAAAAACCAGTAGTGCCTGGGCCTGGGAGAGAGGTACGCGGGGGCAGGCACACGATCCATATACAAAGTTCTGTCGTGGGCCGTGTTGTGCCCTGTCTGCTCGCAACCGCCTCCTCATGGAAAAACAAAAAGTTCGCAACCGCCTCGGTGCCACTTCTCGCTCCTTTCCGGCCACGCCACGCCACGCAGACGCGATCACAGCCTCCCCGCACCACCGATACCTAGCGCCGCCTCGTCCCCCGGCGTCGACGCGCCTCCGCGAGACGGGACCCCGCCATGCCGATCTCATCCTCTCTCTCCGCGCGCCTCGGCCCCGGTCCCGCTCCCGCGCCCGCACGGTGGGGCCCTTACGCCCGCCCCTCCGAACCCCGCAGGACCGGCGCCGGAAGCGGCTGCGCCAAGGCCTCCCGCCCGCCCCTCCGCCTCGAACCCGCGACGGAGAGACTCCTCGGGCCCGCGCGGAGGGCTGAATCCCGCGGATCGAGTCGCGGCGCCGCAGCCCCTACACCTGCACGACGGCGGCTTGGAGACCTGAAGAAGTCGGACCCGAAGACTGATCCCAAGCCGGCGGGGACGAATCCAGAGCCGATCCAGGAGCCGCGCGTCGAGGAGAGCCGTGGCTGCGGCGGTTTCGCTTTCCTCTGCGCCCTCGCTGGACACGAGGAGGTGCGTGACTGTTTCCCTGCCCCACTTCGAAATCGAGTATCGTAACGCTGCGCTATTCCGATTGGATACTCAGATACTTGTGCGTCAAATTAGCAAACCCGTATCTACTTTGTAATTGCTTGGATAATTAGCAACCCCGTTGTTACTTTGTAATTGCAAATAATAAGTAATTGTTTGTATAATTAGCAAGCCCGTTGTTACTTTGTATAACTGTTAAGAATCTGCTTTGCTGCGAGTAATTGTGTAATGCTATGGGCTCTTACGGTTTTTATCGGATGCTGCAGGCTATTACTGGAATCTCTATGCCGATGGGGTCCGACAAGCTCTACTCTGGCAGTGCCGATGGCTCTGTTCGCGTATGGGATGGCAACTCTGGCAAGGTAGCTGGGCTATCCGCTCTTGGGATTCCCCTCAGACTTTTTATGCTCAGTTCACCTTTGGGGTCGTGTCTGCGATGGTTCCTGCATTGCCTCTGGTGGTTGCTTTCTGCTGCCTGATCAATTGGGGAGTAACTCTGGTTGTTTGAGGTGGTCGATGTGCCAAATAGTGCATCGCCTATGATGGTTGATGTGTGCTGACTGCTTGATCAACTGGGGAGCTCCTCTCATTCCTCAGTGCGTCTGATGTACCAGTTGATTCAGATCAGGTTGTCATTTGGCACGCCTGGGGTTGACAACATGTCAGATTGATTTGCCTTGGAGGCTTTTTGCCTGTTTGTGGTAATCAGTGTCCACCGGATCAGTCTCAGGAGGTGATCAGGCTGGTTGACTGACAAGCAAAGCTCTCCGGGGTTAAAGTTGTACTCCCATTTCCAGATGGCCATGTGTTTAATAGCAAGAAAGAAAAAGAGTAAAAAAAAAGAAATGAAAAGAGAGATGAGCTTTAAGAAGAGAAGGTTCTTCAAGAAAAAGGAGAAACTTAAAAGATTGCTGTGTAGTAGAGAAAAAAAAGAGAGAGTTTCTAATCTACTATGTTGCCCTTTCTATTCTTAATGTTTCTGCAATAGTGCCTTGATGTCATCAAGATGGGAGGGAAGATTGGCTGTATGATCACACATGACAAGTGGGTATTTATTGGAATCCCAAAATCCGTGGAGGTATTCTCAATTTTACTATGAGTGCAAGTCAATTTTATGCTATATATTGAAGCGCTATCGGGTATTCAACTATTGTTCTTCGTTGTTCCGATGGCTTCTAGGCATGGAACACACAGACAGGGATGAAGCTAAGTCTTCAGGGACCTTCTGGGCTTGTTTGTTCCATGACTATCAAGGATGAGATGCTGTTTGCTGGCACGGCGGACGGACGCATCATGGCTTGGAAATTTCCTGCTAAGGAGATCAACTCGGAACCGGTGTCAATCCTCGCTGGCCATGACCGTCATGTGATTTCACTTGCTGTCTCCGCAACAAGGCTTTACTCTGGCTCACTTGACAAGACAATCAGAGTACGGAAATGCTGTAGACCTGCTGATTTCTGTTGGCTACTAAACATTATGTTTGTGTCTGATATATTCTTTGTATTTATCAGGTATGGGACCTTAAAAATCTTCAGTGTGTCCAAACACTCTCTGAGCATAAAGCTGCTGTTACTTCTGTGCTTTGTTGGGATCAGAAGTTACTATCTTGCTCTCTGGACAAGACTGTAAATGTCTGGGCTGCTTCAGAATCTGGAAACCTTCAACTCATGCATACCCATTCCGAGGAGCATGTAAGTTCTGCAGACTTAATTTACATGGATATTTCCATCAGCGTTATTTTCTGAAAACTTCATTGAAAATTCGAACATGGAAGCTTATATTAGCTGCAACTTTGTGTCTTTATCAGTGGTAGTATGATATTGTCCTTGTCCTTAACTAGTCTGATTGAACAGTGTAAACTGTATGTGTTGAATATTTATGGCTAATGTATTTCTTCATGTGCAGTAACAGAAATGATATTAAGGCTAATTTTAGTAGTACGCTAGGTAAATATTTCGTGGTGAATGAGTTGGCTAATCTTTAGCCAGAGAATATGCACGATTATGTGTAAAATAATGGGTGTAGCTAGGTCTCAGTCGATTGAGATATAATCAAGTCTCAGTTAAGTGACATAACATGAAAGAGAGAAAAAGAAAAAACTGAAAAGCAAAATTTGCACGGATCTTAATGTAGTATCTCATGGATATAGCATCGACTGAGACTTAGTAAGACTGTTACTGAATTGCACTTGCTACATATAACTATGTTGTCGTACTTTTGTTTTTCTTTATTTCATTTAATTTTTTGCTTGATATGTGCTAGTGGATTGAGCAGCTTCTATCTGTTCTCACTGATCCCACAATTCAACCTAGTCACAATTACTTGTCTAAAATCCAGTGGAAGATCTTTGCAGCTACTTGATATGTGTTACTGGATTAAGCAGCTTCTATCTGTTCTCAAGTGATCCCACAATTCCACTGTAGTCGCAGTTTTAATCAAATGGAAGATTTTTCTCATAGTTATTATCGCTGGATCAATCTTCTGGTGTTATTGCTGTCGGTGCATGAAGGTCTCCATTTCTGGAAGTTGTGACTCCATCTGCATTCGGTCAAGCATTATAGTTCGCACAGTATGGCCTTTGTTACATGCCTGACACGTAGTAGGTGTTCTTCCTAGTATGCTGGGAATTTATCTTGTGCTATCGAGCAGGAGATAAAGGGTTTGAGCCTAATAGAAGCTCTCTTTCTTGGGAACTTTAGATGGCTGCTATCAGTCTGCTGAGCTCATCTGTTTCCCTGAAGAGTTACGATGGGAGTATCAAATAGACATGTATCAGCAACGTCATCAGTCTGCTGAGCTAATCTGTTTCCCTGACTGAAGAGTTAGTATGGGAGTATCAAATAAAAGTGCATCGGCAACGTCAGAATGGTTAGGAACCTTCATACAACAGTTACTAGAGGCAGCATCAGAGCAATTCATTCTTCGAAAGCCTGAATATCGCTGTTGATATTTTTATATATTGTCCGGTTGTTGGCTTTCTCAATATTTCCCTTCCTGGAAGCATGTTTCTCAGTGTACGTTTGTAAGCTCTGTTGAGATGTATCGCATGATGCTAGTGCCCTTGATAGACTTTCTGCTTTGCTCTGGTTCTTGGGCAATGGTTTGTTTCTCAACTTCCTTCCCAACAGTTTGCCCTTTTGTGTGTGTTGCTAAAAACCTGCATCCACCCTGTGTTGCAGGGAGTACGCACCCTCTTTGGCATGCATCGTCCGGGAAAGACGCCGGTTCTGCTCTGCTCCCTCCACAAGAGCAACTGCGTCCGCATGTTGGGCCTGCCATCGTGAGTGCCATTCAGAGCACGCTGTCAGTTGTCTCTGCTTCCTCCTTACCAGTAACCTACAATTATTACTGGTTCCCGTCTTTCAGGTTCGAGGATATTGGCACGCTCTCCTCCAAAACAGAAGTGAAGACCATCGAACTCGCCCAGGGGCCATCGAGGCTTCTCTTGACTGGAGATGGCGCGGGCGAGCTGAAGGTGTGGACGTGGGCGCCCCAGGACGAGGAGTCCCCCAGCACCGGCGCTGCCATAAACGTCAGCTAGACATGCATAGTCGATCATGGCATCATGCTCATGCATGCGCTGAGCTGAGCTAGCTCCACCGCTGTGATGTCTGTAAATTATTATGCCATCCAAGTAAAATAACAAGTCGTCATTTCCCAAAGCCTGACGAGGAGTAATCCATCGGTCCATTTCCCAACGCCGCGCCATAAACTACTCCGGCCCGCTTGAGTTGCGTGCCACCCATGAAGTCAAGCTATATATGGTAGCATGGTGTGGCGTCCAAACAAGCGATTGCTCCATTTACGTACCAGAAAACAACGGTATGGCAAGCATCTACACTGCTTTACAAAGAGGCCTGAACCATGCTCGCCCTGAAGCATCGCTGCCTAACAATTCTAGTTCGTGCGATCCAATGATAGGCTCTAGCATGGGCTCGCGTATGTGCCATGGTCACCGATGCTAGTCTGTTAGTAGTATGACCGACCGCCTTTCATTCGGGTCAGCAGTGCTCTTTACCTTTGCTAGCTGGCTTCCTGAATCTACGTACACAACGTGGTTTAGTCAGCGGCCCGGTGCATGCATCCGGCAAGTGCTTGCGAAAACAAGCAAAAGTTCTGGCCGAACCGCTCTCTACTTATAGCGGCCGGCCAGTGGCTGGAGTTCCAGAGAACCTGAGCATGCACGCACCTCTCCCCCATTTACATGCCGATGCCGCGGTGCTCCACTGTTGACAAATTGGCCTGGCTGGGATAGTGGTGCTAGTAAACTCATTCGCACCGATGGTAACGTGTGGCTAATTCCCGGCCGACAGGGTTACATCTCCGTCGACTCAACTTAGCGCGGCGTCAAGCTGAGGCTGCAGTCTCAAGTTGTGTGCGATTTTAGCAGCAACCTACTTTTTTTCTTGTTTGAGTTGGAGGAGCTTTTCTTGCTATCGGCGTCAAATGATAGTTAACAGTGTGTTGGCCATTTGGCCTTGTATTTTAAGGAGATGCCAGTGCAGTTTTAGGAAGCACGTCTCAATCTGTGCTAAATCTCGAAGCAAAAGACAGTCGGAGCTTTCTTTTTTTCAGTAGAAACGAAACGTCCATTGCAAATGACGGTGCCCGGCCTTTTCAAGCAAACGAACGTGGCGTGAGTTGTCGCCTTGCCTGTTCTTTCCATCACAAGCCCACTTATTTTTCCATGAAACTTTCAATCTGTTCGTCGTGTCATGGCGGTACGAAAAACACAGAAATAACAAAAAAAATACATTTATGTTCATGGATCATCTAGCGACGACTACAAGCGCTGAAGCGAGTAGAAGGCGCGCCGCCGTCATCGCCCTCACTCATCGGAGTCGGGCCAAACTTGTTGCAGTAGACAGTCGGAAGTTGTCGCGCTAATACCCCACATAACCATCGCATGAGAATAACAACCGTCGCCGATGAAAAGAAGTATGGATCGAAGAAACCAATCCGTAGACACACAAACAAAGATTTCATTTCCAGGAAGCCGCTACCGCCTCGTCTTCCCGAGGAGGACAACGTCTCCATAGCCCTAGGTCCACCGGAGACGAAGCGGACTGGCAGCCGCGCCGGCGGGAGGCAGAGAAACCCTAATCTTTTTTGTTATTGCAGAGGAGGTCGTGGCTCACACGCCCACTTTTCTCTGCTACTTTGGTACACAGGAGGAACTATGCATTTTTTGTTGGCAAATTTTAACATGGTCTCTCTTGCCTTCTCTTTTCACATGTGAGGTAAACGTATATAATAGATCTAAGCTGTTGATTTCACTAAGTAGTGGGTGTAAGTAACTCTTACCTTCTCACCTCACATGGTCTCTCTTACCTCCTTTTTTCACATGAGAGGTAATAGTATATATATAATTGGTGCGATGGCCCCATACATCTAGAAGTGGATTGTTTGGAGATGGTGAATATGTTAAAGAAGATGAAACAAGATCTTTCTGGACACATGACTATAGTGGAGGAGATCAAAGCTCTGTTGAGCACACGTGAGACTTGTATTACTCATGTAAAGCGAGACCAGAACTATATTAGTCACTTCTTAGCTAGTTATGCTAGGCGTAGCAATCGTACTGCAGTTTGGCTTTGTTCTGGCCCGGAGAACGTCGAGAACTTGTGTCTTGCTGATTGTACCCGTGGAGGTTGAGTAATATAAGTTTCATTCGCAACAAAAATATAATAGATCCAAGTTGTTGATTTTATTTAGTGTGTCTGAGTAACTCTTACTTTCTCAACTCATGGTCTCTCTACCTCCACTTTTCACATGAGAGGTAAGAATATATAATACTTTCTCACTTCCCATGTGAAAAGATGAGGTGTGAAGGACCATGTTTAAATTGTTTGCGCTGTCGACTGAGATTTTGTAATAGCGAGCTTAGCCACCAGATTTGCCATGGGACTCATATTTTGTTTGATTATGTCCTTGCTTCATTCTTTTTGTTTTTCTATCGTGATAGGGATCCAACGGTTCAATGGTCAACTGGTATTTCATCCTAGTCCTTAATTCTATATCAAATCTTATTTCCAATCTTAGTTCTTAATTCTAAGTTAATTATTATTTCTAACACACATTTTCAAAACGATGTGCAATTTTAGATAAACTTTTTGCAAGGATGATATTTTAGATTTAGAGATGTGTTACATATTTCCTCGTGTAATAGTCGTCTTAAAATCAATTAAATGTTTGCATGGTGTCCTTTTTTAACCACAAACAGAGATATTTTAGCACACACCCTTACATCATGTTCGGTAAGAGTGTATCAACGACCGTTATGGTTAATATCGACTCCCCATTGTGCACAAGTAATAAACTTAATAATACATTGCATCATTAAGGATGGTGTAACGCCCCGAGACCGATGTGCCAGGTGTCTTCCAGTTATTCGCTGTTGTTGCCTTGTCATTGCTTGCGTGTCATGCATTGCATATCATGTCATCATATGCATTTCATTTGCATACATGTTCGTCTCATGCATCCGAGCATTTTCCCCGTTGTCCGTTTTGCATTCCGGCGCTTCTATCTCCTCCGGTGGTCCTTTCTACCTTCTTTTCGTGTGTGGGGGTTAAATATTTCCGGATTGGACCGAGACTTGTCATGCGGCCTTGGTTTACTACCGGTAGACCGCCTGTCAAGTTTCGTACCATTTGGACTTCGTTTGATACACCAACGATTAACCGAGGGACCGAAAAGGCCTCGTGTGTGTTGCAGCCAACACCCCTCCAAAGTGGCCCAAAACCCACCAAAACCTCCTCCATCATCTCGGTCATTCGATCATGATCGCGTGGCCGCAAACCGCACCTCATTTGGACTCTCCTAGCTCCCTCTACATATATATATGTGCTCCCCTCCCGAAAATCGCGGATGAAACCCTAGATCTCTCCTCTCCGCGCCGCCGGACGAAAATCGGCCCCGCTGGACATGTCCGCCGCCCCGCCGCCACGTCCCTCCGGCCAATCCGGAGGCGACACGTCGCCGCCGCCACCGCCCTCACCAACCGGCGAGCGCCACCTCACCGGCCGCCTCCCTCTCCACCGCGCGGCCCGCGGGCCCCAG